AAAAAAGAAAGAAAGAAAAGAAACTGATAGAGAACTCTGACAAGTAAGAATATTGAAAGCGTAAGTGAATATCATAGCAGCACTAGCTTCAGTTCTAACCTCAATTAGAAAGATGTCCTCACATCACTAGGTCATAATTTTAGTTGGTAGCAATAGCTAAGCAGAAAGACCAAGATACGAATGAAAACTGAAGATATTCAGAAAAGAACAGTATGCACTACAGAAGAAAAGGCAGACAGGAAAGCTGGCTTTAAATTGTTTAAGTAGGTCTCTTCTCTGAGCCACTGCAGAGCTGAACTAAGACAAGTTACGAGTCACTCAAGGCAGATCCCAGCTCAAGGTAAGGAATAGATGCTACCCAGGAGAGCAAGTCAAAGATGTGTCCCAAAATAATGAGAGTCTTATTGCTGGCTTCAGTGACCCTGAATTATGCCCAAAATGTCAGAGGAAAGATTCTTGCACTAGGTAGGAGATTGAACTGACTATCCTAAAATTTCTCTTTCAAACTTAGGAATCTGTTTTTACTAGGCAAAGGGTCAAGGGGCATGAAATTTGGGTTCAAGGGAAAGATGAATCACATTTCTGAGACTTTGCAGCCTCAACCAGAATTTTGTTGAAGGAAAAAAATAGAATCAGTCATTTTTCTCCAGCAGCACCACGGCAATGTCAGCCGGTCCATCAACAAACATTGAGTACCTACCCCATACTGAGCATGGACCCAGGTATAGACAGGGAAATTGAGCAAATTTAAAAACATTGATGTTTGTAAATGCTCATTTTCCATTTGCATCACAATTCATAGCCATGGGGTTTTTTCAACATGCAAACTTCTCTTCCACCATCATGTTCTGTCTCATGAAGAATATTTGGTCACCACTGGTCCAACTACTCCTCTGTGCCTGCTAATTACACAGGACTCGGTACCAGCAGAATGTGGGAGACCATGGAGAGGAGGTCGGTGGAGGAGGCAAGAATCAAACAAATACAGATGGATGTCTCCAGGAAGGGTCTTTGACTCTGCATTTGGAAGCAAGACCAGCCCAATCCACAGAGCGGAGGTGGCATCTCCACATACAGGCCTGTTTCAGGAGCATGGCAGCATGGGGCCCTACATTCATCGTTATTTCAGGTTAAGATATTCCCAACAGCAACACTCCATGAAACATGCTACCTTGAGCAGTTCGCCATTTAACATGCGAGCTCTATCATCTAAAACATTTCCTAGAAATTCAAGGCCCTAAAGGAACTGAAAACGAGACTCTATATTTGAGAAAGAGATTGTTGGGGGAAAGAGCTGAAGTTTGGGAACAGCAGAATGTAGATGCTGGATCCCCGCCAAAGAGAGGAGGAAGCTTTCTAATGCTGCCTGGGAGTTTGGTGGATGACTTGCTTCAGAAATTAATAAAGAACAGTCTTTCATAGTATATCAGCAAGAGGCAGACACAATGAGTTCATTATACCTCTTCTTCTTTACAGGAGTAGTAGCAGAAGTGGATGCTACGGTGTTGGAGGTGTTTGCATTCAATGAACCGCCAGGTTGCCTATTTAATGACAAGAACAACAATTAATCACACTCTCAAACTTTTTCATTTCAGCCTACCTTTGAAAAGTCTTAAATTCTACTCATACTCCTGCCTGCTCTCTGTTCATCATAAAGTGTTTCACTTGAGGATGGAAAAACAGCCAAAAATCTTCTCCCTTAGTTGACATATTTTAGAAGTTGTCAGGTTCTCATAAAACTAGCTAAAACTAAAGGAATAAAGAAGTGATTCATAAAATGACATTAACTGTCTGAAATTCACACCAATCAATTCTGGCGTGCTATAGATTCACATTTCTTTTATTCCTGTGATTGTATTGTGACTAATTATGTTGCAGTTTTTTGCATTAGAAAAATTTTTAAATCATACCATCTTAAGTCTCTATCTAGCATTTATTCATATATGCAGATCCTCAAAAATGGAAGTGACCCAGGCCCGTTTCAAGCTCTGAGAGGTGTGATCCAGTGTATAAATCACCTTATACATAAATAGGAATTCAAAAATAAAATAAGTTTACAAATATGTCTGATTTGGGCTGCTTGTAACCACCAGTAGTACATTCCAGGGAAAATGTATTTCGTTTAAATAGATTTTTAGCTCACCCCATGATTTCCCAATTCAATTTTCTCTGAAGGAGGAGGCGTAGATGTGAAGGGTGGGTAGGGAAGGAAGTGAGGTGTGGAGGAAGGGTTAATTATTGTGGGAGTAGAGAGAAGAAAAGTCCTGTGGGGGAAAAAATAAGGAGTCTAGATTTTAACAAAGAAGAAGAAAGAAAGGATCACCTAAGCTTTGGTGTTTGATTAGAGTAATGATTGGAAATCTTTTTTTCTGCAAAAGTCCAGATAGTCACATTTGGACCTTTGCAGACCATTTTGGTATTGTCTTCTACTACTCAACTCTGCTAGAGCAATAGGGGCATGGCTGTATTCCAATAAAATTGGCCTGAGGTGGTTTTCCCTGGTTTTTCTTGAACACGTAAAAAGAAATATACTACAATTAGAAAGAATACATACAACTTTGTTACTTCCGGTGATCTAAACATGGACATGCTCCTGGTAAGAGAGAAAGAAAGCAAAGTTTGAACAACGAAGAATGAACATTTGCATCTATTTGGAATTATTCTTGAATGTAGAGTTACTAAAAGTTAGACATTGGTGAGAGAAAGAAATAGAAAGCATCATATTTTAATAAATTTCATAAGATGATTTCATGATTCTGTCTCTTGTACTAGAGTCCAAAGAATTTTTTTTCTTCTGAAAATTTAGTGTCATTTAAGTCCAGTATTTTTATTTGTTGGATTCAGTAATTTTCCTTAACAATAATAATGTAAAATTTGCATTTGCACCTATTTCATAATTTTGCCACCAGGACAACTTAAACAGAAACATAAATGTGGTAAGAATGGTGATTTGGAGCTACTAGTGCTCTTGATTTTTAAGCTAAACAACAAGATTTTATTCTAGCCATGCACAGGAGTAATGATTTTTACTCCTGAATTTCTGCAATAAAAATAATAGAGAGTAAGAATTTACAGAAAGATATCAAGTAGGATTGAAGAATTGCAAGTACATAGGTAACACTTAGAAAAATATTATACTTGAGCCTTTCCCATAGCTAGTAGATACTGGTACCTATTGGTTAGTTGTTTATCCAAGGTATTGGCCTTATACATTTTAGCAGCATCATTTCTGTCTGAGATCCTTTATAAAGAAACAAGACAAAAGTCTGAATAAACATTTAAATTGTCAAACTCCTTTCAGACCATTTTCTTGCTAGAATAGCTTAACAATATAACCTTTCTCCCATAAAGAGAACTATTTTTCAAGTGTTACATTTTAGAAAATTTTTAAATAAAAAGAAACTACTTATGACAAAATCTACTTATGAGGTTGTTTTAATAGAGTTTGAAATTTTATTTTATTTTATTTTATTTTATTTTTTGAGACAGAGTCCTGCTCTGTCACCCAGGCTGGAGTGCAGTAGTGTGATCTCAGCTCACTGCAACCTCCGCCGCAGGGTTCAAACTATTCTACTGCCTCAGCCTCCTGAGTAACTGGAAATACAGGCACTCACCCCCACACCGAGTTAATTTTTGTAGTTTTAGTAGAGATGATGTTTCACCATGTTGGCCACACTAGTCTTGAGCTCTTGACCTCAGGTAACCCACCCGCCTCCACATCCTAAAGTGCTGAGATTACAGGTGTGAGCCACTGCGCCCAACCTGAAATATTAAAAGTGTTATGCCTTTTGCCTGTTTGCCTTTCTGACTCATCGAGCATTTAACTCATTAACTATTTTCATTTTCATTATTGTCTAATGATATATCTTGTCAATGACAGTACTTCCTAAGTCAGTGAAAGGCGTCAATGAAATACTTTTTTTTTTTAATGGTTTGTGGCATAAACAATATTATGTGTTTGCCAAATACATTTTCTTTTCTTTCTGAGCAATCAGGGAGACCACATTTCCCAACCTTCACTGCAATTAAATTGGGACCATATGATTGAGCTCTAGACTAAAGACTGTGGGCAGACATGTTATCTGCCACTTCCAGACCCATTGTAAAACCTCCTGGTGATCTTCCATGTTCTTTCTTCCCCCTTCTACTATGGCTTTGGTATGCATGGCAGCATAAAGATGGCAGCGTTAAAATATGGAAAGAACTTAGGTCCCTGAGTCACTTCATGGACTCCAGCAAATCACATTGGACTCTGATGTGTCAAGCAGTACCTTATAGTATGTCAAACCATCTAGATGTGGAAGAGAGGAAGCAGACTTGTTAAAAAGTTACTCTACCTTGACAAATTAGTTTACTTTGACTAATACATGTAATGAGTCCAAATGATCATTAGAGATTTTAATCATTCTAATCTCATAGATCTAGAAAAGCTGTGTTCATCTGCTTCTTGAGTTAGAAAGGACAAATAAGGAAGGTTATCATTCTCTACCAATGGTGGGATCTCATAACTTCAGCCCCGTTCCTTCTTTCCTTGTCTCATACCTACTACTGTTTGCTGGTCATTTGATATGCTTTCTCGACTCTCCAGAACATCCCTGCAAGGTAGGCATAATGATTTTCATTTTATAGATAAAGAAATGGAGTCTCAGAGTCATTGTGTGGCTTTCTCTTGGCAACACAAATAGAAAGTAGTCTATCTCCCAAGTCATTCACTGGGATCCAATGTCATATATTTGATTCTGTAGTATGATTGTTCCCCAAACGCATATATTAGGTTAACACATCTTCCTTTAGTCTTTATTCTTCATCTCTCACAATCTCTTTCATGCTACCTAGGGGATAAGTCTATCAATGGTAATGGAGAGAACTCTAAACCACCATTTCAATATGTATGTTGATTTCATATTGCTGGGGGATATTAATTTTGTAATTATCCTGGAAATTAAATTTTTGTCAACTAGTGATATAAATTAGGTTATTTTAATAAAAATCGGTTTTGCAGACTTGAAATACCCAACAATGTAATTAGCAACATGATCAGAAAAGCTGAAAGAAAAGTTAAACTTTCACAATGGAGCACTAGGGGGCCTCCTAACCTAGGTTTTCCAAAGTAGTTATAACCCACTATCTCTGCATGCTACGTACATATTTGTTTATGTTTCTTTTCCACACCTTGTCTTTTACACACATAAGTATATTTTAAAGGGAACTTTTCAAATGCAAACCCAGTACTTTTCTCATATTCATTAAAACAATTCATCTGCATCATTATTAAAATGCCAATCAATGCACACATACCAGATATATTTGATCATCCTCCTCCTAAAATTATTTCATGTCTTACGTTTTGGAGTGGTCTATATTACAGAAGTTCGGCTCCTGCTAATAGGACTTGCCTTTCTTTACTGACGCCTGTGTTCTCTTCCTCAAATCTATTTCCACATCGAGTGCCTTGGGAATGAGCTGCCAGAATACTTTTTCCAAACATACCACTAAAGTGTATAAATAAATTATGTAATCTCTGGGCCTGCTTTCGAGGGTATAAAATGAAGGGCTTGGGATATATTGGTGGTTCTGAATCTCAGATGCACATAGAATTACTTTATAAGCTTGAAAAAAAATGCTTGAGTTCCACCTCAGGCTAATTAAATCAGAATTTGAGGAGTGAGGGGTAGTAGGATAGAAGGCACCAACAAAGTTTAAGAGCTCCGTCAGTGGTTCTAATTTATGACTAAGGCTGAGAATGACCTAACTACATTGCCTGCGAGGTCTAGTCTATTTCCAGCATTCGTAGGCTGCGTCTCGGCTGACCTGACATAAACGTTCAGACACATAGCCTACAAAAGCTTATGTCTTCCACCTTACTTGAGGCTCAATTATCTCACTTTAAAATTCATTCCTAGAAATAAGGTTTCCTTCTTCAATTAGCCATCTGCAAGACCAGGATGAATGGACAGAGGTATTTTATCTACCTCTTCTCTATGCACCGCTGTGGAGATGAGATCTTGTACATATACTACAAATTCATTTTTGACAAGGATGATAATTTTTAAAAGAGAAAGACCAACTCTTTAAGATACCAGTGTTGATTGTCCTCTATTAGGGTGACTGACTTGAAAGCCTAGGAATAGTGCAGAAGGTATATACATTTGCTACATTAATCAACACTGGCACAGTCTGAGTTTAGAATCTATTGGATGCTGTAAGTTACCATGTATTTTCTTAAAACCCAGTAGGTGCCATTTTTGCCTACAATTGCCGCACGTCTTTAGCTGCAAGGAGTAAACTCAACCAGCACTGGCTTTGGGTATTCATGGTGCCTATTTAATAGGAGTCCAAAAGACTCCTATTAAAGATGCTAACTTTGTCCTTTACTTCTGCTTACTAAGCATCTCTACCAAATCTAAACTAAAAATGTGATTTGTGGCATTTATACTTCAACCTGAATAGAAGTTGCCCTATTTTCCCTGTAGAGATGAGCACTTTCCCTCCATGTAAGAAGGAACTAACAGCAGGCACACACGTTGGACTCATTCTATCAGCCCTATGGAGACTCCAGTGTCGAAAGAGTATTTTCACTTTCTAAAGAGAAAGTAAAGAGCTAATGTCTCTGTCCTGGAGTGTATTGAAACTATTGTATTATTAAAATTTACAGTCTCTCCATAAAGCAGTTGCACGGACTGATGTTTTTCCACCATCAATGTGGAAGAACCAAATGTTGGAACAAGGATTACACATATTCACACAAAAAAACCCTATATTCTTCATTTTAAATTGAACTAACAGATGCCGTGCAGTACACACCCTAGATGTACTCAAATCAGTGTCACTAAGAATTGTTCACAACAACCTACTATTAGCAAGATTTTAGAAATGCATCTAGTCAAGATTTAGTGAGATTTGAAGAAAGTAATTCAATTCTTAGAGCCCTCTATCCCTGGGAATAAAATACCAGCGATTCAAACCTTATTTTGGTAAACGTTTAAATTCTTCATAACTTTATAAGAAAAGGAATTTCATATGTTATGCATTCTACTTACATGGTTCAAAAGAACCTTACCTGTCCAAAGTGTCATCAGAACTATACCGACTAATTGTAGCTTTTGACACATCTCTCTCATTTACTTTCCTGTAGCAAAAATAATTACCAAAAAAATCAAATAAATTATTTTAAAAAGTTTATAAAACCTATCATACATATGGCAATATTTTGACCTATTTGAGTAGGAAATGTACATGTTACCAAGGAAAGATAGAGTACCCAAATCTTCCAACTTGGATGGAATAAATTATGGAAAATCCAATATCCTATGCTAATAAAAGATTCTTCTCTGGCTTCAATTATTTCTAACAACAATGTAACATATTCAAATTAGGGATAAGGGTTCGTAAATCATACAACACAACAAACAACACAACATGCAAAATGGTTAATAACTAATGTGTACTCTTGTCAATGTTGTTTATTTCTACATAATAGGAACTCAATCTTTTATACTCAACTATATTTTGTTTGCAGAATTTTAGCAGTGCCATAAACCAGCACCATGGACTAAATCCGTAAACGCTTTGTTTAATATTCAGCACCGTGGACAGGGTTGAAAGAAGGGAACTTACAGGGAGAAGGAGGGGAAAGACAGCAAAGAAAGGAAAGAAAGGAAACAGGAAAAGCTGGGAAAATGAAAAGGAGAAAGTGGGAAGTGAGAGAAGGGAAGGACAGGAGGAAAAGAGGAAGAGAGAAGAGTGATAGGAAGAAGGAGAAGAGAGACAAGGGCAAAGAGAGGAGAGCAAGACAGATGAGCAAAAATGGGAGGAGGGATTTAGAAAATAACAGAAAAGAGGATAGAAGGCTCAATAGAAGGAATCGTGATCATGGAAGCAAAAGAAAGATCTTGATCAAACATGAAAAAGCCTGTTTAATGCCTTCTATAACCCTATGATATAAAGCAAGCAAGCTTTTTGGAGAATTCTCTATTATTTATTGTGTTTGTTTTTCCAAGTATCATTTAAAACCGTCCTATCCAAAGTATTGCATTAGAATAAGTACTAAGACTAGGTGCTAAAGATTTAATTTTAAACTTGATGTGGCATATATTCACTAAGCAACTATTTGGATGTATTCAATATAAAAAGTACTACAAATAGTGCAAAAAGTATATTTGCTGTATTAGTAGTGGAAAAAGTAACATTTGCTGTATTAATCAACACTGTTGTACTAATAAATATAGGGAAATCTAGAATAAAATAACTATAGCTGCCATCTACAGAGTAAGACGGACAAATCAGGTATGTACCTCCAAAGACAGAAAGTAGTGAGTGCCATAAAAGAGGTTTAGGTAAGGTGTAAGGAAGTTCTAAGTTGAGAAAGCTGATTTCTAGGTATGCAAACCAGAGAAGGCTTTATGGAATGAAGTGCAGTTTGAGCTGGGCCTTGGAGGGGAAATAGATGTGGAATAGATGTGAACATTTTCGAATAGAGGTAGAGGGAACAGTATCAGTTGAGGCAAGAAAAAAAGTGAAGAAAAATGCCAAATACAACTCCCCCAAAGTTTAATACAACCCCAAAGTGAAATCATGGCGTGGTTCACCATCGTGTGTAATGTGTAAATGCAAGCAGGTGCTGGAGGGCCATCTGACCCCTTCCAGAAAACAGCCCCTCCCAAGACACTATCACTATGTCTCTAGGTGGCCATTGTCTTCCTACTACTTATCACAATAAGACATGTTTCAACATGTTATTTTCATTCTCTCTCCTCCCTCACTTTCAACTAGGATGCAAGTTCTGTGAAAGCAGCGACTTTCCAATTGTGGATAATATGAAGGTATTATCTAAGGTGATGACAGTATATTATTTATTTTCCTTTATTTTCAGACCCCACTCATGTCAGCTCTCTGCACATATTGTCATCTCTGTGGGAAGTGCTTCTTTCCTTGCTCCATGCCCAACAGCCAGTCTTGCCCATTTGGGAAATTTTTCCTCATAATCCTTCAAGCATCATCACCAACACCAAAGACCACTTCCATAGTGAGGTCTCTGATTATTTAGGCAGAGTTAGTCTCCCCTCCTTTCTATTCCCATAATGCACTCACACACCTCTACTATAGCACTTTCCGTGACAAACTTTAGTATTTTCATTTGTGGATATTTTTTCATGAATACAAGAGCTCCAAGGTCAAAGATTATGTTCTATGCATCTTTGTATTCCTGGCACCTGGCACAATGCTGGCACATAGTGGGTGCTCCAAAGTGGCTGTTGAGTGGGCATCAAGGTAAAGACAGCCTCTGCAGAGCAGAAAAATGACAAGTGACACCCTCTGAGCAAGTACCAGGAGAAAAACAATCTGCCTACTCTTTTAGGGAGATTGATTCTGTGATGTTAGTTATAGGTCAAGGGGGAAATGTCTAGGGCTTAGAGATTTTTGTTCCTTAAAAGACTGATATGCTACTTTAGCCACACACTGGCCACCACGAGGAAGGGTTCAGGAAACCAATACAATTTAAAATATGAAATAAGCATGAAAGGGATTATGCTCCTGTTAACCTAAAACACACTGTATGTACATTAAGAATATGAAGCGTATTTCACACTTAAAAAACATAAGGGTCTGTGTTCTTTAATCATTCCAGAGAAAGGTGAATAACATATAGGCAGCAATTTCCACGGGTGGCTGGACTCAAATGATGAGCCTCTCCTTTGTTGGTGAGATGAGAGCCAGCTGAGAACCAGGCTCTGATCTTCAAAACCATAAAGACTAAGGACAGGGCCTCGGCGGAGTCTGCCAGATCACAGAACAGTAAATCAGATGAACTAAAGCTGGCATCAGGAAAATGAAACGGCAACTCTGGGTAGAGGGTTATATGCTCAGCACCCTTAAAACAGGTCAAAATTATTAAAAAGTTTAAAAAGGTTGAGAGAAATTCATAAACAAAAGTTTCCCACATAGACATGTCCCAGGTGTCTGCTTAACTTTTTAAGCTCCACGCCATAGAAGACATCCACACTCCCTTTCTAATTACATTTTAATGACAAACAGACACAAGCTACTAGACCAGATAAAACTTGTGTCTGATAAATATTTAGGTTCTTCTGACAGGTGTGGTTGTTTGTATGCATATGAGTACAGCTGTGTTTTAGCAACAATATTCTCTATTTTTTATCAGTCCGAGATTATTTACATCATTGTGATTACTGTTTTATCTTAATTTTTCTACTAATGTGCTTTGATCAGTCTATTTGCCACTGAGGATCAGTTCATGTTTTCCCACTAGCCCAGGAGTTTCCAAAAAGAAAGGTACTGTACCATAAAGCAAGTGAACTCTGGAGTTGTTATTTCTGTGTTTTAGGATTCCTTTCCCTAAGGTTCAGAGATATCTAATCTGGTCATGTTGCTGTTGTTGTTTGTTTGTTTGTTTGTTCATTCATTTGTTTGAGAAATAGGGTCTTCTTCCATCACCCAGGCTGGAGTACAATGGAGCATCACTGCCCACTGCAGCCTCAGTGTCCCAAGCTCAGGCAATCCTCCCACCTCAGCCTCTGGAGTAGCTGGGACGACAGGTGTGTACCATCACACCTAGTTAAATAATTTTCTTTCTTTTTTTTTTTTTTTTAAGACACATTGCCCAGGCTGGTCTCGAACTCCTAGGCTCAAGGAATCCTCCCACTTTGGCCTCCCAAAGTTTTGGGATTACAGGCATGAGCCATGGCACCCTGCCTGATCTGATCGTGTTTCTATGAGAGTCCTTTCTCTGCCTGTCAGGAGGACTACCTCCATGGGATGCACAGAGGGTTGGTTATGTTCTGCCTCCAAGTCATGGCTCTGGAGAGGCAGAGTTTTCTTGTGGAAACCTCTGATGATATCACAGATTCTCCTTCACATGCCCAGAACATCGGGGAAAGCCCGAGGCATGCTGCAAATATTCAGCTGTCTTGAACAAGTCTTCTCTGAAAACTACCATCTTTATGTTTCTGCTCATGATGTAACATGTCTGAACACCCACCTGTCCAATGCATCATGGGAATTATGTCGGTTGAGCACCACCCTACCATAATTTTCATCTCTGCAAAGAGAGAACAAAAGTATGTCACATAGAAAGTTACCACAATATTGGCTAAGCACCAAATGAGAGAGACATGAGGGCGAGCTCACAATTTTTGGCAAGGTTAATTCATTTTACTTGAGTTGTGAGAACACAAAATTATGTATCTATTTTAACCAGTCACCACTTGAAAGAGCATGAGAAAAGAAACAAGTTTGTCAGTACAAATGATCATTTATCCCATGAGGTTTGCACATGATTCAACAATGAATGAGTGTTGTGATGTGTTTTGTTTTATCAGACTGTGGGAATATGAGCCCATTTGCTTTATATGTATTAGAAGAGTCCTTTTTGGCTTGAAGTCAAATACAAAAGCTTTCCACAAATTGTGTTTAAATTTAAGCAAGCCCATTATGTCTGGATATGTTGGTGGACTTGACAGTTCTCCTTCATAAAATGTGGGAAACTCAGTACCAATATTTGTGGTTAAGGAGATTTATAATTCACAGGAGACCTAGCCCACTTTTGAGCCATGAGAATACAGTTTGCTCTAGTTAATCATTAAAATAATCCTATGAATTAGGCAGTGAAGACACTGTCACATCCAGTTCACAGATGAGAAAATTGATTGGGGATTTTGTGGCTTTCCTAAGACCACAAGGTTAGCAAGTAACAGACATGCGTCTAGGACCCAGATCTTTTCATTCCAAACCGTTGCTATTCCTACTGGTCAACCCTGCAATCGACCTTCATATGTAAAATCTCAAAGTAATATCATTCTTGTTTTGTACAGTGGAACTGAAAGTACAGGCCCTTTCAGGAAATGTCAAAACATGTAGTGAAGCCTTTGGATTTGAGCAAAGGCAGAAAGTACTTGAACCTATTTCATGTCAACCCAACCAAACCTGAAATACCACATTTTTCCTGGTTGTGCTCCAGTAACATTACCCAAACCCCCGGGTTTTTTTTTTTTTTTTTTTTTTTTTTGATGGAGTCTTGCTCTGTCTTCCAGGCTGGAATGCAGTGGTGCAATATCTTTGCTCACTGCAACCTGTGCCTCCTGGGTTCAAGCAATTCTCCTGTCTCAGCCTCCCAAGTAGCTGGGATTACAGGTGCCCGCCATCACGCCCAGCTAATTTTTGTATTTTTTAAGTGGAGATGGGGTTTCTTCATGTTGGCCAGGCTGGTCTCGAACTCCTGACTTGCCCACCTCGGCCTCCCAAAGTGCTGGGATTACAGGCCTGAGCCATCATGCCCGGCCTCTGGTACCATTTTTAATGAAGCTATAAAAGAACTGGAGTAGACAATTAAATAGAAAGATGAACAGTAAAAGTGAAACAATGCCAGCAAATATATACTCTCAAAGACCCCAAGAGAACTTTCCTATCTTCCTCCGTATCTCTTACTGAAATTTTTGAAAGAGCAGCAGATACCAGGCATGTTTTTATCTGAGGAAGAATTATAACACACAGCCCAGAACTGGGCCAGGAAAAATCAGGGAAGCATCAAAGCCAATTTTCCCTTCATTCAGCAGCTCCTATGCCATCCAAGTTGGCTTCCCTGGGTTTTCTTGGGGAGGCATGCCTGGCATAAAAGCAACATTCCTCCCAACTGTGATTTGTCTTATACATTCTATCTTCACTCGTCTGTGTAAATATTGGCAATCCAAAATGTATGGTCTACATTTGACATGACACTATCACTACAGAAAATTGGAAATGCTCTGACAGAAGCAAAAAATGCTGCTTCATGGAAGGAAATGATTGTTGTCCAATAGTGCTAACTCCAAAAGTTAGTGTGAGTCTCTAAATCTCTAAACTCCTGTATATTTCCTTGAAATAATAATATTCAATAACAGAAATTAATAGATATTTTAAATTTAACATTTACACGAATGACCCTTAAATAACCATATCTGCAGAGTTTGTAGATAGTTTAGAGTAAGTATCCTATAATGCAGGATTTCCCAACTTCAGGACTGTTGACACTTTGGGTTTGATAATTTTTTGTGTGGGAGCTGTCCTGTGATTTGTAGGATATTTACCAGCATCCCTGTTCTCTGCACATTAAATACCAGAAGCACTCCCCAATTTTAACAACAAAAATGTCTTCCAACCTTGCCAAATGTCTCCTGGAGGTAAAATTGTCCCTGGTTGAGAAACATTTGTGTAATGGAAAAACAATGGACCATGTTAAAATCTCATCTCTACCACTGAATAGCTATGTGCCATTAGACAAGTTACTTAGCTTCTCTGAGCTCAGATCCCTCTTCTGTAAAATGAGGAGATATAACACCTACCTTGTGTTTTATTGTAAAATTACTAGTGCTTTATACATAAAGTATCTAACACCAAGCTTAATAACAAAGAAATTATAAAATGTCTACATAATTTATAACATACACACAACACGATATATATCCGGGCTGGACAAATACCTATTGCAAATCTATATTGGCAATGAGGCTATATGCCTATGGCCATAGTTTTCAAATCTTTAAACCTCTCAGCTAGTAGAAGTAATGCTCAAAACAAACAAAATTTTGTTGGTGGTAAGTACTTACAAAGTAATACCATATATTCCATCTTCCCAATACCTAGAAGTAGATGGCACTAAAATAAGTCGGTAATTGTTTAAATTTCTCTTGTACGTATCAAAATTTTATATATTAAATTTGGAATTATACTATTTTTGTTTATTTCAGCTGACATGATCAACGTAGCAGGAATTGTCTGATCATGGATTAACTGTTACCTTTTTGGAAACTGGAAAGTCATGTTTTCTTTTCAATTTACCAAGTAAGCACAAATATCTATCCTAGGTAATAATCAGGCTCTCTCTCAGTAATGACTCACATTCTCTTATGTATGTGGATTTTTAAAATGGCAGAGATATTCTTGAAACTCCGGTGTGTAACCTATTTATGCTTACTAAGTCTTACCAAAGATTAGACCATGCAACAAAGTGTTTCAGGAGAAAAGTATTCACTTTTCAGATGAGCATTAGCTTCCCAAACAGACAATGCCTCTCTCTGCCCCTCCATCCACCCACCACGCTCCAGACCAGCTTACTTTTCTTCTTCAGGGCGTTTCTTTATCCAACTGTTATCCTGTAAGAAAGTTCTTCTTTTGTTCACCTCGTGAAAATCCTGCTGCTTCCATGTGGTTCCCAGAGTGGTGCTCTTCATCTCTATCAACAGAAACATGAAAGACTGGAAGATGTAATAGTGTGGAGTTGAGTGTGGGCTTGGTAACCTGAAAATCCTGAGAGGCACAACTGATTGGCCAGCATCAATCTTCTAGGCTGGCAAGTCCAGTACTGAGTCAAAGTAGGATGCACCAGCAAGAAAGAACAGATCCCACACCCTATCACCAAAGATAACACACAAAGCTGCTCAGGTGCCAACTGAAACTGCCAGTGCCACTTATGAGGCCCCATCCAGTTCCTGGGAAAGGAGAACTCCCAGCCTGGGATAAACTGAGCCAGGATTTAGTGGGCTGGCCATTTTACCCCATAAGAAATATACCTTGGAAGCCCACAAAAGACTGTTTTTATAATACCTAGTAATAGTCAATAAGTCCCGGTCATTTGATTCTAAGTAACTTAATTCTTTTATTCTGTAAGAGCCAAACACAAAGAAGGTCATATTTTTTTTAAAAAAGATATTTTTATTGATTTTTAAAAAATGAATTCCAATTACATGACTAAAAGCTGTGGCATGTATACTTTTTCTTAAGCCTAACTTTGCAATGCTAATTAAATTAGACTATTGTTTCTAAGCATTCAATGTCTGTATTAAAGAACTGAGATCTGTGAGTTGTTTTACTGAAATGTTAAAGTTTTCTGAGTAAGAGAAACTCATGTACATTACCATTTCCTGTGGGAGACATTTTTCTCAAGGTAACATTGGACATGCTGCCTTCCAGTAAGGACCTAAAAGAAAAATGGGAAATAGAGAAAGCACAACAATGACTCTAAGAACCCGTAAGTGACTGTTTCATGACTGAGATTCACTTTTCAATGACAGTGACAGTCACATGGTCTGTCATAACAAATGCATGACATAAAATGCCCCTGAGAGTTCATCTCTTCCAACATATTTGTTTTACAGATGGAGAAAATGAGGCCCAGGGCGTTTTGTGATTCCAGCGTTATATCATAAGCAATTGGTAGAATCAGGCCATCAATTAATTCATGTGTTCAATCAATAATTACGTATGGAGTGCTTACACTGTCCCTGGCACTGAGCCTTGTGCTGGGGGCAGAAAAATGAGTTAGACAAGTGTCTGGTCATGGTCAAGAGGGAGAGAGAGAGATTGTGCTGAACCCACAGCACACTGTGAATGCCCAAAGAAGGGCTCCTCAGCTCCTTCCTGAAAAAAGCCAAAGCAAACTCAGGAAATTGCTGTGTAATTAGAAGGAAAGCAACCAGGCACATGGAAATCACAGACTTTGAGAAGCATTGGTGATTTTAGGCAACCGCCACATGGAAAACTCAAAGTTTCTGAACTACTCTTCTGGTGTTAAGGGGTTAAGGTAACCCACAGCACCAGTCTGCCCAGGACTGATCCAGTTCCCCAGAACTGAATTATGACTTTGTGGGTCCTAGGCACTTTTGCCTTCAGGGTCCCTTCTTACTCACACAGACATACACACACACACAAATTTAAAATTATATCTTATGACTATGTTAGTATGAATATGATCCTGGCTGACTTCATTATTATTATTGTTATATCAATATTTTTCTTCTGTTATTGAAAGAAATAAAAATTAGAATGCTTTTGTGGATCATAAATGTATTGTGGGCCTTTGTGCACCTGAGTTAACCCTGCGTTTTCCTGAAAGTGGAAACCAGAAAAGTCCTGGGCAAACCTGGATGGCTGCTCACCCTGGGTGGGGTTATTATGTCCTTTCCAGTGTCCATCTCACCCAGACTGTGCATGGAACATAGGAGGGGCATTCAAGCTCAAGTCAGAAGCAAGTTTTAGGTCCATATTTATCACATTCAATGTCTGGAAAATGAACCACTTAATCTCCCTGCAAAATGAGGCTATTGAAACCTGCCATCTACTTCCTAAGTTGCTGTGATGATCAAATGAATAATGTACACAAAAAAACCACTTTGTTAAATGATCAATGCTATTGGACTTAAGGAAATATTATTGGACAACTGTCTATAGGTATAACTTGGGGTTCTAAAAGCCCCCACTTCCTATCCTGTAATGCGAAAGTATTTCCTGCAACAACTTGCCATAGGACCTGAAGCAGGAAAGACACACTTCTCTGGGTCACGGTATTATTTTCCTTGGGGTCGCTTCTTAGAATGTCAGTAGCACTGCAGAAGATCAGAGGTGGAGGCTGTAGGTGTCCAGACCAGCTCCCCCTCACCAGTCTGAAGCTTGGCAGCTACAGGCTCATGACTGCACCTTCCCTGAGGATTTGCCCTTCACTCCGCCTGGCTGGTTGCACAGCCTCCCCACTCACTACAACCTGGAGCCGGTGGCTGACTGACCGGGATAAAAAAGGTCAGTCCTTTGCCTCAAGATAGAATCAATTTTATCCAGTGACTTGCACTTCAGAGCTGGGATCTGGCTGTAGATCAGCCAGCAGAGTGCACATCCTTGCTCACTTCCTTCCCTGGCCTTCCCCTGCCTCTCTCCTGAAAGCACACCCTCAATAACTCAAAAGCACCCAAATGCCTCTCAGAAATGGCTTCTGGGAAACCTAACCTAAGACGTGGATTAAGAACCAATGTATTCATCATGACCATTACCTTCTCAGGGACCAGCAGCTGTTCGCTGCATGAATAGCTGATTCTGAAGGTCTTAGTGGAGTTAGAAAGAACTGCATCTAAGTGATGCTGTTTACTGACTGTGTCACCTTAGGTATGTTATTAGCTCAGGTCTCTTATTTGTATAATGAGATGAAATAGGAACATTATGAGGTTCAAATATTACTAGATAACATATGTAAAGTGTCTAATTATTGCCCAGCACACAGTAGGTGCTTGAGAATTTTTAACTCCATACTCCATCACCTTGGCAAGCAGAGAGCAAAGACATAGGAGAGGTATGGTTGGATGTGGGATGGGATGGAACAGACTTGAACTTGGGCAGCTGGGCACACCAGAAGTGTCAGGGATCCCCTGGCTGGCTATGTTTGGAGGCTGCATAGATAACCTCTGGTAAAATGAAGGTAAAGAAGCCCCTAAAGGCAAACTTAAAGCTCAACTAGTGACTATTTTGCCTCTCTCTGGGAGTGTGTCTCAGGACTTTTGGCTAACCTTTTTCCTGTTTCTAAATGGGCTCTGATATTTTTTTTTTTCCTCTTAGCCGATAAAGACCTGGAGAGTTCTCAGTTGATTGCACTAGAATTCTCAGGTGGTCAAAATGCTGATTGCATAATTAGTGATACATCTGCAGAGACAGTAATGCAATTGTGAGACAAAAGACAGGGTAAATGGAGAAAGCGTGTTTTACAATTATCTGCTTATTTTTCTGTCCCTCCCAAGAGACTGTGTTTCTAGTGGGCAAGGCCTAAATGTTTTCCTTCTATTCCCAGCATCTGGGAGAGAGTAGGTCTTCCCCGGGTGCTTGTTACTGGCCAAGTCATGTTCCTCCAAAATTTATATGTTGAAGTTTCCATCGCTAGTATCTCAGAAGGTGACTATATTTGGAAATACGGCATTTAAAGGGGTGATTAAGTTACATCCATGCCCCTGAGCAAACTATCGCGAGAACAGAAAACCAAACACCGCCTGTTCTCACTCATAGGTGGGAATTGAACAATGAGAACACTTGGACACAGGAAGGGCAACATCGCACACCCGGGCCTGTTGTGGGGTGAGGAGAGGGGGGAGGGATAGCATTAGGAGATATACCTAATGTAAATGACGAGTTAATGGGTGCAGCACACCAACATGGCACATGTATACATATGTAATAAACCTGCACGTTGTGCACATGTACCCTAGAACTTAAAGTATAATAAAATATAAATAAATAAATAAATAAATAAATAAGAGGTGATTAAGTTAAAACAATGCCTTTAAGGTGGGCATTAATTCAACCTGACTGGTGACCTTGTAAGAAGAGAAAATTTAGAAACACAAAGAGACACCAGAGGAAAGGCCACTTCGAGGACACAGTAAGAAGGTGGCCATCTGCAGGCCAAGGAAAGAGGCCTCAGGAGAAATCCAAATCTGCCAATACCTTGATTTTGGATGCCCAGGCCCCACAACTGTGAGACAATGATTTTCTGTTATTTAAGTCACCTATCTGTGGTATTTTGTTATAACAGCCTGAGCAAACTATGGAATCCTTATGAAAAAAGTAATTTGAAGAGTTATAAGATAGCCAAGTCATTCAAAGAGCTTTGGTCCACACTGCACCTGCTCTATGCCCTCCATGTCTTCAAATGGTTTATTGCACAGGATAATTGCTATTAGAATAAACATCTACTGGTCAAGTCCCTGCCCTGAACAGGGTACCTCCCAGGCATTGTCTCTCATTTTTCACATAAACTCTGCGGGGTGGCTCTTGGTACCTCCAACTCCCAGGTGAGACTACTGGAGCTCAGAGAGAGGATGAAACATGTCCAAGGTGTTAAGGGACTGTGTCAGGCTTCTAAACCAAGCCATGTTCTCCTCAGCAAACAGCACTAACGCCCATCAGTAGTCACTGCAAGACTAGGCTGTTGCCCTAGTGTTAGAGCAAGAGTGGGAATGTGGATGCAGGGGCTTGCCTGGTGCTGGGCATCTCACTCCTTGGAAGTCCCATGACCTCCGTCAAGTGCTTGGTACCAGGGCAGCCTCTCAATGAACCGCTGCAGCAAACAAACCTTCACAGGACAGGCTTCTCTGTGTATTCCCCAATATTCCTTTGGTTAAAAACATGTCCACACAAAAACTTGTACATGAATGGTCATGGTAGCACATACAGCCAAAAAGTAGAAATGACCCGAATGTCCATCAGTGGATGAATGGATATACAGTATGGCATCTCTGTGCAACAGAATATTACTCAGCATAAAAGGGAACAAAACACTGATTCATCCTACAACGTGAATGAAACTTGAAACATTAAGCTAAATGGAAGAAGCCAGGCACAGAAGAGGACACACTGTACGGTTCCATTGATATGAAATGTACAGAACAGTCACATCCATAGAAAAGAAAGTGCATTAGTGTTTTCCAGGGGTTAAGGGGAGAGGTGAATGAAGAGTGACTGCTAAAGGGAATGGGTTTCTTTTTGGGGTAAAATTAAAATACTCTGGAATTAGATAGTGGTGATGGTTGCACAATC